TTTATTTAATTAAATTTATTATTTTAAATAGCTTAAATGATGATTTTCAAGTTAATTTTATGATGATTATTTTTTAAAAATAAAGTAAAAGTAATTTAGATCTTAAAAATTATATATATTTAATTAAATTTATTATTTTAAATAGCTTAAATGATGATTTTCAAATCAATTTTATGATAATTATTTCTTAAGAATAAAGTGAAAGTAACATATAAATGTAAAATTTAATAAAAATGTAAAAAAAAAAATGGTTTTCAATCAACCGGTTGAATCAGTTGAATGAACCGATTGAACTTATTGAACCAGATCCGGTGGCTAAAACGGGTCAACCACCGGGTCGGATCTAAAAACACTGGTTTTTTGGACGAAGATTAGGTTGAAGGCCAGTTATACCTATCTGATTAACGCTAAAACTATTCTTACCTCTGACTTTGAATGCCTTGATATTCGTCCAACCGCGGTAGTTTTGTCCTCAACCAGTCCCATCTATTATTCATAATTATATATTAAATAATGGCAACTTCATAACTTCACACCAATTTCATCAGACATCAATGGCTATTTTGCCTTAAAATCTACGGCTTTTGAAGGTTTTGAAGGCAAATGAGATCTTCAGGAATTTTTTTGATCTTATTTTTCTCTGTTTTTCTCACATATCTTCCTTCTGCTGCCGATGCTGACTTCCGTTTTAAATGTGGTGAAAATGGCAAATACACGGCCAACAGTACATTCGGGACCAATCTCAACCTTCTGTTTTCACAGCTATCCGCCACGGCAGATTTCAATTATGGGTTCTACAATTTGTCCGTCGGTCAGAGCCCTGACCAGGTCAACGCAATCGGACTCTGCAGGGGGGACCAAAAGGAGGACGCTTGCAGAAGTTGCCTCAACGAGACCATCTCTGAGCTTGTGCAGCAATGTTCCAATTGCAAAGAGGCGATCGGATGGTCAGAATTCTGTACGTTACACTACTCAAGTCAACAACTCTTTGGATCCATGGAATCCAGTTCTCCCTTTATACTTTGGAATCCTAACAATGCATCGGATGTAAATGGGTTCAATCAGGCATTAAGCGACTTGTTGAATAACTTGAGCGGTCGTGCGGCTGCCGGAGGACCTCTTCTCAAATATGCAGCGGATA